GTGTTTGTTGTTTGTTTGGTATTTTTAACCATGTGTGGAGTCCCGAAAATATGCCAATGGAAGTACAGCTCTCTGTAGCAAATTTGAGCCTGCTAATAATAGGTTTGCTTTTTTTAGCTGCCTTTCACAGACCTGTTGGATGTGTCCCGTTGACCCTCCAGGGTTTTGTAAACCAGAGGTTGGAAAGTGCCATGCCAATGGATATCTGGATGAATCTCCAGGAGACTGCCAAAAATTCTGGGCATAGCTGGCCTCTTTTGTTGCACTCCTGCAGATCAGATAAAACTTTTTAGGCCTTGCAGGAGCCATTAGGAAAATACATATAAATACTGATTTTTTCTTATTATCTGTGCTTTGGCAAGTTTTCACAGCTTATTAGGCTGCATGGAAGTGTGGTAGGAGAAGCTTAGGCAAAAACCCTTTTAGTTAGGAAACTCACCTTCTCTTATGTCTCTTGCAAAGGAAGATTTAAATATGCAGTGTTTTAATCTATTCAGTTTTATGTGCAGAAAAAAATGAAATTAACTTAAAAATTAATTCTTCTGCAGTTTCTGTCTGTCTGGAGCTGACTGATTTTGTTTAAAAGGACATCTGTCCTGTGGGTCTAGATTGCTTGCCTTAGCTGTCGTGAATATAGTAAGCCTAGTTATGTATGTCTGCTTCCTTTTCATGATAAAAAATTAACTTTAGTATTGTTTGTCAGCTCTCAAGGTACTCTGTGTGTCATAAAAGCTCTTTGGAAGTATTTCTTTAAAGTAAATTAAAAACCAAACTGAAAACCTATAAAAGGTCTGCCATCTGCCCTGATCTCTCTTCTTTTTATTCTTTTTTTTTCCCTCAGTATTGTTTTCATGTAGTTGGCAGAACTTGAAATTCACCTAGTTCATATGACACAATGAAAATGTAACCTCTTCCCTGAGTTCAGTGTTAATGGACTTGTAATAGAGGAAATGGTTACAGTGTACACAGTAATGCTGTAGTTCTGCAGGTCGTACCCATGTGCTTGACTTCACTAACATGAATAATTACATGAGAATCAGCAGCTTCACAATGATGGTGGTTTTAAGCTTGCTGTAAGTTTTACATCAGAACCTCAGGTAGCTTTCAGACACTTATTGGATTAAGGCCCACATAATTTGTTTGTGCATTCTTAACAAATTCTTTGGCTGTCACAGGCAATTAAAAACCAGATTTTTTTTTTTTACATGGCTTATGGCAGGTAAAAAGACAGTTTATATAGGATGTAGTAGCATATTTTAAGTGTTCATTGTAGCAGGAAGTAGATTTTCATTTTTGTTTACATTTCTAACTTATGTATTACATATTTTTTGGTTGTTCCTGTATTGCCAAATGCCTTCCAGACAAAAAAACAAGAAAAGGTCTTTGCTCTGTCATGTCATTAAGCTGAATTGATGTGTGTGTTGTCATTGTATCTCACATTTACCTAGTGGCCTCTCTTGTAGCCTGACACCAAGATTAAATCCTTAAGCCCTATGCCTACATTGTTTACATATTGCTTGCTTCAGAGCAGGAGGAGCTGACAAATTCCATCTGTATTATAAATTAAGTTCATATGCAGCATGATTGAAGGGCAAACCAGTTAGTGCAAGTTACTGCTTCCACCCTGCTACAACCTTTTTTTTTTTTTGGTTGTTGTATTATTTATCTGAAAATACCAAACTGGATAAACCATATAAACCAAAACAGATGTTTGTATATATAAGAGCAAGGAATTAAAAAAACCCTCACTAACCGGGTCATGTAGGAGAGAAGCTGAGACTTTAAGCTCCTATAGCTTGACTCTTAAGATAATGAATACTAAAACACATATGTATTTCTCAAAACAGTCTATGGTGTTTATGTACTGATTTATTTTGTTGTCTAATGAGGCTTCTAAAGCGAGCATTAAATGGCAGAGTACATTAAATAACAAAATTTTCCTCCAGCCACAATCAGGGGCCTGTGCTCTGTCCTCTTAACTCCCTGCAGAATTGAGTCTCCAGACTTTCAGACTGAGGGGGCCTCAGGGCTCCTTCCAGTTTCTCCTTAGACAGTTACACAGCAATAGATTTTTCTTAATTTTTTTCCCAGTTTAGCTTAATAATATATCTGAGAGAGAGCTGTAGAACTTTTATTGGAGTGAAACTACTTCCTGCACTTGCAAGAGAGATTAGTTTTTATTTCACTGCTGAAGTGTGCTATTCAGGACTAAACCCACAGCTTAATCACTGTGTATTTGTTCAGCTTTCAGTCAGTCTTTGCTCATTCTGACCTTAAGGTGACTTGTCAAAGGGATTCCTTTCTTAAATAGGAGTTTGCTTTTCCTGTGAGTGTTTGATTATTTTGCTTTGGGATGCAAAACCTTAGGGGAGGAAAAAGTCTAGGCAAAAATCCTGAGTCTGTGTTCAGGGCTGTCCCAGCTTGTTACTGCACCTGATGTGCCAAGTCTAAACTTTTGATTGGAAGTTGAACACCTAAATTACAGTTTTCTTTCTTACTTTTTAGTGTAATGTGGTGTTCTTGTCAACTGAACGCTGTTGTCAGGTGTGAGTCTTTAATTATGTCAGTTTTATTTTGAGCTGGCAAGCAAGCATAGCAATTTTAATAAGATTAATAAACAACACAGTGAAGGTTAACCTGTTTCCTTGAGAGAGTGGAAGAACTAAGTCTTTGAAATACTTGTTAAGTCTGTGTGAATGTTTGAATAGATAGTTGTCCTTAAAGCAGTTGTGAAAAACGGGACAAAAGGTATGCATGTACTAGTAGGTATAGATTTATCTGAACTTAGACTGCCATATTGTTTGGGTAATCACTATTTACAAAAATTACATAGCTTGTCTTCCTAAATATCAGAAATCACAAGGCTGAATTATAGCTGTGGTTAAAATACAGAGTAATTACGACGTGTTATGTGAATTTTGTGAATGAGGAGTGGGTTTTTTGTTGTGGGCTTTTTTCTTGTCAAAGTAAATGACATTCCTCACAAGGACATTTTCATCTTGATATTTCTGTTCTGTGGGATGTGTGTATAAATACAAGACTGATATGCTTTAACATTAATTCACGTGACTTTCTTCAGATTCATAAACCACCTTAAACTTGCTTGGCAGCATACTAAATGTTCCAAGTGGAAAAATGAGAAAATACCTAATTCTCCTAGTTTATTTATATGAGTTGTGCTAGCAACAAATATTGTAAATTGTCTAGTTCATCTGCTTCTGTGCACCTAGGAGGTTTGTGCTCCTGGCTTTTGCTTCTCACTGTGGCCACAGCAGTTCCAGTACCTCTCTTTGTGTCACTCGCAGTCAGGTGCACAAAGCTCTGTGCTTGGATGTAATTAATCATCCTGCTAATTAATAACCTTATTCTTTGGCTGTGAAAGAATAGTTGTCCTCTTATCAATTTGGTCTTCTTAAAAGAACAGCTGAAAAGTAAACTATCACCTCCTTCCCTGTTGAGATAGGGGCAGCAACATCTCCATTTAGGCTGGTGTTAGGCAGAGTAGAGCTTTCTTCTTTTACTTGTTAGAACTTAGCCGTAAGATTTGGAGAAAGGTTTGAAGTCCTAGGGATTTCTGCAGTTCTCTCACTATGTTTTATGTAAAATATATCCATTTTTAAACAATTAATGACAAAAATAGCTTTAGGGTGAACTTTCTTGGCTGAAAAAATAATTAGCAGTGAACATTTTCTCTGAATTTAAATGGCATAATGAACACTCTTGTTTTGCAAAGCCATGAGAATAAGCCTTACATATTAAAATAGCAGGAGACTGATACCTTCCATTCAGGGATCTGCAATTCAGTGTATTTGGTAGTAGAATGATTGCAGCCATTTTTGTAGAAGGTGGGTCTTTAGAGGGTGCAGTGTTATGAAGCATTTAAAGCACTGAGCAAATACTCTGAGTAGAAGTGTGTTTGGAAGAGGCTGCTGGGTGTGTAAAGAGCTGCTTTCAAAGTGTAGCATTCCAGGTGTGCTCCAGCATTGAGTGGTGGATGGAGTGAGTGCAGATGGACTGATGCCTTGCCAAAGACTTAGGAGCACCCGCTCTGTTTTCTCTAATGCCTCCATTTGGTGGGAGTTGCACTGAAACACAATCCTGGCACATACCTGGAGCATTACTGTTCCTGGTTCCAAGATGGCTCTTACTCTCTGGATAGACAAGGTGTCTGCAGAGCTGGAGAGGAGAGGACAGGGCAATGTTAGTGTTGGTCCTCTTGCTGCAGTAGAGTGGAGTTGGCTGGAAAACGGGAAGCAAAACAAATGCCATTGAGGGATGGAGCAAAGGTGGTGGGAGAGGCATGGCAAAGCAGAAGACTTCCAAGGGATGTAAGGCCAGAGGAGGAGGTGAGGGTGGGAAAGAGCTGTTGTTGGGAAATAACATCCTTCAGCCAAGAGTAAAAGTTCCTGTCAAGATATTTCCTGGGTTGCTTCTTGATCAGTTCTTGCATATCTGACTGTACTGCTGTTTGTTTTTGCACTTTTACCCCAAAGCTGGGAGTCAATGGGTAAGGAGGAAGGAGACCTCTTCCACTTGCTAAGTTTCCCAGTATGTGTCGGAAAGACCCTTTCCTTCCCCAGATATGAAGCAGAAAAAAGGGGACCCTGCCAGCTGTGACAGGACTTTTCTCCCCTCATGTAACAGTGCTGAGTTCTTGCTTCAGTTCCTGATGTGGCCACTCCTGTTGGCTCCTACCTGGTGACTTTTTCTTCATTAAAATGCTTGTTGCCTTCCACTTAGGGAGGTGGAGGTGGCACACAGGTAGACCTAGTGTGTAATTAAACACTTCTTAAAAGCACTTAGAGTCTTCTGAGTAAGGAGTGTTCCGATAAGCGCAAGAGTGTGGTTTCCCAATCCATTACTTTATGTTTGATTTATTTACCTTTTTCGCTTTTTCATCTCACTTTCTGCAATTTTCCCATGCGATGACCGTGCCGTTATGTGAACAGAGGTCTGGATGTCTGGCAGAGCAGTGAGCACTGTTTCTGACTCTCTTTCAGATGCAAGTATGGACATAATAGCCTATGATGATTACTCCAGTCCACCGCTTCAGAGATATTGAAAGGACACCTGAATACCTCCAGCCAGAAAAGTGTGTTCCACCTCCTAGCCGCGCTTCCCTGGGAACAATGTGGTTTATTCGAGATGGCTGTGGTATTGCATGTGCTGTCGTTACCTGGATGCTGGTGTTCTATGCCGACTTTGTAGTCCTTCTTGTCATGCTAGTTCCATCGAGAGATTATGTTTATAGTGTCATCAATGGCACACTGTTCAACACCTTGGCTTTCCTCGCTTTGGCTTCACATTTTCGTGCTATGCTGACAGATCCAGTAAGTATCCACCTCTCTCCGTGTGTCTTGGAAAGAAACAGGTGGTGTTTTTCTTGTCTGCTAGATGTTGGGTAACTCAGTTGCTGAGTGAGTGGCAGATTTAAATAACTTTTGTGTGTCAGCCTGCTGAGTGAGGCTGCTGATGTGGTATGCTAATTTTTCGTCCCACTCAAGTCGGATGCAAAGTCGAGGACCCAGCGTTAGATTCCTGGTGTGTGAGCAGCTCCTCTTTCTGCACTGGGAAGGAGAGTGTTTCCCTCCGATGCTGTTTGCTCCCCAGTGGCAGATCTCGTGTTTGTGGCTTGTTGTGTCTTGACAAACAGGAAAGCTGGAAAAGCTGGTTTTGGTTGTCTGCCTTGGCAAGTATTGCTTCAGCAGAACAGACCAGAATATGTGTTGTTTTGAAAAGCTGTGTTAGCATCTCTCATTCTACTGATTTTGTTGAGTGTATTGGACAATGCTGAAATAAGTACGGTCTGAGCATGAGATGGCAGTTCTTAGGCAAGTTGGGAAGCATCAGAGTTGTGAGATCCCTTTGTATGTATCCTTAGGACATTGCTTTGAGAGATGAGATCTGCTACTCTCTCATCTTTCAGTTTGTGACAAGGTAAAGTTTAGCACCATGATGCTAATTCTGAATGGCCTGTGATGGTTTATTTTCCTTAATAACCTCTAGACAGTAGACTGAGTTCAAAACCCCATCTCCACTAGTTAGTGGAAGGAAAGACAAGCTTAGACTTCTCCTTCCTCACAAATGTTCTTGCTGCTTTTGGGAGTGGTGGTGTGCCTCTGATAACTGTCCCTTCCAAATGTTATTTTCTCCTTGAAACCTTGTTAGGTGCTGTTGAGACTTCAGTACAATTGTTGTTTCTTATATTGTAGCCCTTCCAGAAGCCCTAGCACTGCAGAAATGGCTTGATTTGGGGTATTCTCACAATTTGTGGTAAAGACTGTTGAATTGTATGCTACTGCTGCTAGGCAGAAGTGTAAGCAGTACTTCAGCCTCTGAAACTTCTGGTCACTGGACTCGGGAATGGAAGGTTGCAGCAGTTTGTTAGATAGTTTGTATCCTAAGGGTGGTTGTTAATTATTGTATGTTGTGTGATTTTTGTGCTTGGGGACCTTCAGGTGGCTGGAATTATTTTGCAGAGTTAGCAGCAGCTTGTGTGAAACAAAAGCTGTATTTTGAAATGGGCTAGTTGGAGCAGTGTTGGAGAAGCAGATATAATTTCTGTTGAGAGTAATTGGGAAAAGATACGTTAATTCCTTGTGTGAGGTGGGATTTATGTATGTGGATGGCGAGCCAGTGGGATTTTGTTTCATTTTTACAATGAGGAATTCAGCTAAATAAAATGCAGGAAGGAAGATACAGAGAAGGGGTGCACTAACGTCTGGCAGTGAGTCTGGGATTAAGGAAGCTTCCAGGACATGGGGAACCAGGGGCATATGTAGGATGAGAATGAAACAAAAAGCACTGCTGAGGCAAACAATAAGAATCCTTATTATAAATAAATTAACAACTCAGTTCTTCACAATTGAGAGCGGGTGTCCTGCATTTCAGTGGGTCCTTCTAAAAACTTCTTCCAGTGGATCTTTGCTAAAAACATTCCTAAAGTTTTGAGCTTTGCTGCATACTGAAGAGAGAGAACATGTGTTGTAGCAATTTTGTGGAAATTGGTTTTGGTAATTTTTAAATTAGTCAGGCCTGTTGGGGAGGTTTTGTGGGAAAATACCCCCAAAGATTGCTTTAAAAAGTCTCATACTACTGGTTTAATGTGCAGTTCTCTCACTCCTGTATCACTCCTGTTTATTGCTGTTAGGAGGTTGTATAGATGTATTGTTAGGAGACTCTTCCATCAGAAATCTATTGAAATATTGCATCTGTGTTTTTGTTTCCATTTAAAAAGCCTTAAATTCACAGAAGTAAATTGTGCCAATCTACTAGCAGTGTTTTCATACACCACCTTTCATGGTGCTCTTTTTTTTTTTTAGCAGGGGGAGTTTCTTTAGTTTGTTTGTTGTTTTGTTGGTTTTTTGAGGTTTTTTTTGTGAGCAAGTTTTTGTCCCTATAAAAACTGTGAACTCATGAACTTGGGCTCCTGTAGCAGCAATATGTTATGTATTTAAAGATATACTTTGAATTGGAAATTGCACAGCTAAGAATTTTTTACCTGGTCTTATTCAGGTGTGACAATTCGTAGTGTTCGCTGTTTGAATGTTAACCCCCAATTTAAATAGCAAATACACAATGGAAGCATAACTATAAATACATGAGTTATTTACCAGCAACTCTTAATGTACACAATAATACTTCAGAAGAAGCTGCTTCTACTGGCATAAAACATCTGCAGTTTTCTGTGTGTTAGGAAACACTGACATGATACATTTGTTGATGTGAAAAGAGGGATGAGGATTCTTAAATATTTTAAGGTTACTGTAGGACTACAAAAAACTAATTGCTTAAGTGGAATTTAATTGATGTTTAAAAAAAAAAACAACAAAAGTCCCACCAAAATTATATGTAAGTATGTGGTTCCATATTTTAAGACCACATTTAAATTTATTTTCTGAATCTTCTTGCTGTTCTTAAAACTCTGTTCTGTTGATCTTAGGGAAACTTTTATTTCTTTTTCTTTCTGCTCCTCCCTTAGTTTTAAGTCATACTGTTGTTCTTAGCAGCCGTAAAGTGCACAAGTTAATCTCCTGGTTTGTTTTCTTTTCCTGCAGGGTGCTGTACCCAAAGGTAATGCCACAAAAGAGTTCATCGAGAGTTTACAGCTAAAGCCAGGACAGGTGGTTTACAAGTGCCCAAAGTGTTGTAGCATCAAACCCGACAGAGCACATCACTGCAGGTAAAGTCTGTTCTGAGGAGAGCTGTCTCATCAACACCTCAAGAATTATTCACCAGTGTACCTTGTTATTGCAGTCTGACACTGGAGTGGGTCAGTTGAGGGATTGGCATGCAAATTCTGTTGCCAATAGCACCGGACACATTTAAGCTTCTCACAAGAAATCTCATACCTTTTCTGAAAAAATTTTCATATATAGGAGGCCAGGGCTACTTCATGCAAAGTGAGAAACACTTGCAATTTTTGCGTGCTGCCTTGGTTCCAGACTTCTAACTGACATTCCATAAATTTTCATGTAAACATGACTTGAAAAGAGACATTCTGTACCAAAATGCATAGAAATCCATAAAGCATCTCCCAAAGGGTCAGTGTCTTTTCCATTTTTGTTTTTATTCACAAACCCATTTGTCAAACTCTGTATTCTATTTAGAAGTGATATTTAAGTTAAAACTGAAGTGCACGTAACTGTATGTGTATTTTTAAGAGTTCACACTTCCACATTTTCATTGAGTGCTGTGACTTTGTTTTTATGCTGTGTGATAGATCAGTATGCCTACTGATCTGTCATGTCCTTTCTTTTTCTGGTAGGATAAACTTCCTGGAAGACAGTAACTGATAGTGAGCTTTTTAGTACTAAAGGCAGTGAGCAAAAAAATAACTACTTCCTAAAATTCTCTTCTGCTTTTAAAGCAAGCGAACCTGCTTTCCAGTAAGTAGTTAATAAGTTTGCACTGGTGTCACTTCCTTACCTACTCAAAAACCAATACATACAGAGAGAGCTCACACCTGGGCTAGTGCTGATTCATGCAGTGGTCTTGTGGGGAGGGAAATATGTGCTAATGAGCTGAGCAAACTTGTCCTGCTGTTTGCTTTTTTCATATTTGTTTTCAGAGCTTCAGTTTGCAGATGTTTTTATTTTTTGTTGGTTTTCCTTATTTTTTAAATTTTAATGAAAATCGGGAGTCGGTTGTTCAGCAGGAGCAATGTGGTCATGCCAATCACTTATTAATGCTACTGTAAAATCCCCTCTGACAGCTTTTCAATTATGAATGAAATTTCACATCTAAAATGCTGTCTTGATGATGACTCACAGTGTAGGTAAATGAAAAGGACTCTGGCTAAAGACAAAACCTTGCCACTGTGGTCCTTTTTTCTGTCCTTTAAGATAAGGTTTTAGACATTAAGATTTGGGAAAGTGATCCACTCACCACTGATGCTATTGAGAATCTTCAGGCAGACAGTTTTTTTTTTGTGGCCTAGGAGATTTATTAGACTTTAAGACACCAAGGTTGAGTGTATGCATCAGCAGGAGATCCTGCTAGCTGTATGCCAGAGGGACCAGGGTGTTTTTGATGGATGTGCTATTTAGTGAGTCCCCTGTGCCCACTAAACTAGTCCTGCCAGCATTTGGAAGCTGGGTGGTTGAATGGGGGAAGTGTCTGACTATGGGCAATCCCTGCTCTCTGTAGTGTTTAGTTGTGGTTTCTGTATTTCCTTTTCCACCAGCTAGCTTCCTGTTCTGCCTGTCATCCAATTGTTTTTGGTACGTGTACATGGAATAAAACTCCCCTCCCAGTCTCCTCCCCTGCCTCTTTCACATCTGTGCCGTGGCTGCTTCAGGTTGTCCCTCTGGGGAAGTAGGAGCATTTGGAGGGTTGCTTGGGTACTCCCCTCTCCCAGAGCCCAAGGGAAGTGTGTGCACACCTGCACACAGGGAGGCATCCTCCTCCTTCACCATCTTCCTCACCTTACCCCTTCCTTTTTTTTAATCACAATGAGAGATACTTGTCTTACAAAGTACATTAGCTGGCAGATAAGTTGCTTTTACTGTGCCTGCTGATTTTAGACCCCATGTAGCTCCAAATAATTTTAAGCTGCTTGTTCTGGCAAAAGGTGGCTTTTTCTTGTTTCCCACTGGATGTGGAGCTGACAGATAGTAGGGCACCCTTGTTTGCCTGAGGAGAAGGAGCTCCTGATGTGCTTGCCTGGACTTTCATTTAGGATCAAGCCTATAGCAACTCATTTGTTTTTCAGGCATAGCCCATATCCTTGGGGATTATCTCTTTCCACCAATTAAAGTGAGTGAAAGGCTGTTCTGACAGAGATTTTCTATTATTTATCATACATGCTGATAACAATGTATTTATGTTTTTGTTTGAGTTTCCTTTAAGTGTTTGGGTGTTGAAGTTTATTATTTATATTGAGGTCAAGATACTTTTTGTTATAAGAAGAAAAATAAAATTAGCAGAGCGCTTAGTCCTTTCTGTTTAATTGCTGCCAGAATTGTTCTGGAATGGCTCTTTCCTTTCTGGGTCTATTGTTTGTTTGCTTTGGGGTTTTTTGTTTTTTCATATTTGATTTCTGTGCTTGTTTGTACAATGTGGTATCAGGAGACTGAGTGGCTTTCGTCTCCTATCATATGAGAAAGCAGCAGAGAAAAAGACTTCCTTTATTATGTGTGTTGGAGCAGTCACTGACTAAGCAAGAGAATGATGTTCACAGTAATATATAAAGTACTAATGTTTTAATTATTTGACTTCCAGCCACAATTTGCATGTTGGCAAGAATTTGAATTTTGATTTCATTAGTCTGGTTTTGTGAAGTACTTTAACATCTAATTTCACCTTGAATGTCTATTGTGGTACCATCTTCCTGACTGACTGCCACAGCTATTTTCTGCTTGATGTCAAGAATCTTTCCTAATGCCTTATTTGATTGCAAGTTCCTGCTACCAGCAAATGTTGGCAAATAAACCTGAGTCTGTTGTTAGCAATTCTGAGAACTATCTTTATTCATTACTACCTTTTGTATATTAGTGATTTATGTTTAGTTTTAATCTGTGGATGTTTTTACAGGCCAAATAGATTAAAACTAAAAAAAATCACAGATTTTTTTTTCCCATCTGTCTGAATGTATTGCTCAAACCATATTTTGGAAAGAACCATTGATGTGTGGCATTAATTTTTGCAATGGTGGTTTTGTATTGTATGATTCATTTTGAACAGGCTTAGTCAAGTAAGCAAACCACAAATATAAATATGGTGGCAAGTAAATTCTTTTATGTTCAGATTTCACCTTTAATTCTTTAGCTGAAATTCTTTGTCCCCCAAACCCCTGTAAAATCCTGTGTTCTTGGAATGAAAAGTGCTGTTAATGAAGACCTGTGTTCTTTCAGTGTTTGCAAGAGGTGCATTCGGAAAATGGACCATCACTGCCCGTGGGTCAATAACTGTGTGGGAGAGAATAACCAGAAGTACTTTGTACTGTTTACAGTAAGTATTTCAAGATGCTTGAGGTTGTCCAGTGGGAAGTGCTGAAATGTAGTGCAGAGTCTGTGAAGCAGCTCCCAGGGCTGTGTTCTCTTCCCTTGTCTTTTGGAAGAACTTTATGGGGACCTGCTGCAGGCTTCTGTTTCACTAATTAGGAAACACCTCCCTCCCCACCATCCAGCCACAGCAACAGGAAGAGGCATCACAGGAAGCATTTGTCAGGGGTTTTTGAGGTTTGTATTGGTGGTTGCTCAGCACCTATTTTGTAATGTGAGTAGTGTATTGTGGTGCTGAGCTCTTTGAGGGAGGGGCCATCCTTTTACATCAAACAGTGGCTGGTAGGATCCTAGGCTATATGTAGGGTTCCTAAACATTATAGTTGTACAAGTACCTGTGTGGGATCATGTAATAAGAGCTGTTGCCACATCTCAAAGAAGGAGTGGGAAGTCTGCACTCCCTTGGATAAGAATTATCCACCTTTTAATTGCAAATGGTTTATTTTTGTACTTGAAAACCACGGAGGAGCTTGACTTTTTGTACTATATCTGTAGCATCATGAGTAAGAAAACAGGAATACAAACTTGAACAGTGGATATTTCTGGAAGGTTTTAAAAGTGTTTCATCAAAGTGAACTGCAAATATCCCGTGGGAGTAGTGTGAACATTACAAGGCTGAGTCTCAGTGATGCTCTGTTTTATTAATAAATCTTCTGAGACATCTGTAGGTTTGAGGAAGTGTGTTCTCATATTACCAAGCAGAAAGGAGGAGATTTTCAGTTAAATGACAGGCCTAGTGTTCTATGGTGGGGTTTGCAAGGATGTGAATTACAGAACAAAATGAATCCTATTTCTTTCCTATGAGCAAACGGGTTTTTTTTTAATTTTGAGAAGTGAGCTAGGTGTTCTAGTCCTCTCAAAAGGGTTTCAGTTACTATTAGAACTTGATATCCACTTTCTAGCAAACTGTATTTAAGACTTAATCTTGTTGAGAGAAACAAAATAAGGGTTGGTGGTTTTATTCTTGGATATTCTTTTTGACACATAAGGAAGTGAAAGAACAGCAGCATGCTCAACTTGCAAGGAAAACCAGAATTCTCCCCTATTGCCTTTTAATGCTTCCAGAGGTGTTTCTTGTTACAAAATCTTTCTCACTTCTGCTGTATGCTTATCTTTGTCAGAATTTGTAGGTTCGGAAGAGTAATTTTTTTAGCCCTGTCTTCGTAAATTGTAGTCTAGGTGTAACAGAGTAGCTTTTATAGTTGCGTGTAGCTTTTATTCTAACTTTTTGTTACATACAGTTTTTATTACAAAGCTAAGGCCTGGTTTAAGCCAAAAATTAATAAGTACGAAGTATTGAAGCCTGAAAGAAACTTTCTATGCCACTGTCTGCCTCAGAGAAAGTACTTCTTAAAAAAAAAAATTTCTGAACCTCATACTGGAAAACAAAGTGTGTTTTCTGGTTAAAAGAAAATGACTGTTGTTTCTCTGGGAAACTGTAGTGCTGTCAAGAGCAAGGATGTAAGCTTTGACAACAGGGTACCTTGATCAGTGTTACTGTTCTCTGAAAGTCATGCAGTGCTGAGCTGAGGTAAGGGCAGTGAGCTGTGTGGAAGGCCACTCTGGGACACAGGAGGCTGGGTTTGGATCCAGCTGCTGTTGGATTCAGCATCTGCCTTGTGTTGCTCAGAGCTGTTCGTAAGGAGAGAAGGAGTCTGTGTAATTGTGGCATTTGCCAGCTTCACAGTGCTTTTTCAGGGGAGATGGGAGCGCTTGATGGTTTTTGGAGTTGTTTTGTGGTTTGGTTTTATTTTGAGATCTTAACACTATGCTTTTAAATAGTGTTGGGAAGATAAAGCATTTTGGTCTTTGAACTCACTTGGTTCCTGTATTATGTCCTTCATTTTTCAGATGTATATAGCACTGATTTCCCTGCATGCCCTAATCATGGTGGGATTTCACTTCTTGTACTGCTTTGAAGAAGACTGGACAAGTGAGTATAAACAAAATACTTTATTAAAATTACAGATTATCCTTTGAATAGGAACTTAGAATGCAGTTGGCTTATTTCAGAAGAATGCTATCAACGTTCTGCTATGCTATCTCTGTTTTTTTGGGGTCTTTTTAATGATCATTCCTGGGACTTCATAATTCTTTTTGAGCTGCTGGAATCTCTGTCCTGAAAAGTCCTCTTTTAACTTACACCTGATAGTGCCTAGGAAAAAGCTGTTAGGTAAAGACACCTAAGGAGTATGTGTGCAATAACCTACTGTTGACATGAACACAGCACTAATTTCCTGAATGCTAGCAAAAGATAAGAAGAATGTGTATGCTTTTTTTAAAAGGGTACTGTGAATCATTCTTGCAAGACTGCCAGGAAAACATGCTGCTCTTATCCAAAAATCCACCCTTACAAGAACAAACAATTCTTTTCCTCAGAAAAACATAAACCCTACAAACCAAAATCAGAGCCCAAACAGCTCAAAAAAGTGAAACCAAAAACTTCAGCATTCACTCTGAAGTAGTCAGTGAGTACATTTCCACAAAGTCAGTCTATGTATATTCCTAAAACCACAAATGGATATGGGAAACCCTCAATATAATGCTGAGTTGAACAGCAAGGTATCAAAGAACATGTGTGCACATGTATGTACTGCCTGTGAGATTTTTTGGAAAAGGAGGAGGGTTTTTTCCCTTGGAATTTCAGTAGTAGTCTCAATATCATGACTGGTTTTAGATCATAGTACTGCAGAGGATACACATGTGAATTGAATTTGAAAAGGTTGTTCTGCACCTCAAAACTTTGTAAAACAGCTGCCAGCAGTCACTGAGAACATCTGCATTTGACTGCAGTGGCCAGGGCTGTAAAGGAAGGATACACTAAAAGATATTTCCTTTATGTCCATTCTCAGAGCCTGTTCCTGTGGGGAAAGTACTTCCCTACCTGTCCCAGGTTTAGGTGGCAGAACAAAGCTGTTAGGAGAGATGGATGTGCTATTCCAGCTGCCTTGTGTTTGTGCAGATTGTGTTAGTTCCTGATTATCTGTTGAAGCCTAAGATCTCATTAGAAAAATACAGGCTTTTGGTGAGAGTCTTAAATTTTGGGAAAATGTTCTGGAGATGTTGGAGATGTTGGAGATGTCCAAAACATTTTGGAGATGTTCTGGCACTTACAGCACTCAGCTGTAACTTTGAAGCACTCAACTATGACTTTGGCCCTATAACGTTACTTTCTTCTGCTCCTCCTTTCTAATTACCTTCTTGGGTTTCTTTTTTCAGCTCTTGCTTGAGGTTGAGTATGAGGAAGAATAGGAACTTGGTTTAATCTGACCTTCTTTTAGTTATGGCTTAGAATGAAAGGAAGCACACCCTGGTTTTGTGTTGGTGCTCCATATGCTCATGTCCTGACTGCCAGCTTGAGATTTTTTAATGGACTTCTCACTGGAGAATCTGTTAAGTCTAAGATTTAAGAGAGAACCTCCAGGGGAAATGAAGGAGAATGGCATCCTAGTTGGTGTGCTGGGGAAACACCAAAGTGGAAAAGAAAGTCGCAGTCTTGAAATGTTGCAGGGGTTTTGGTGGGCTTTTTCACTTTTTTTGAAATTTGAGGGAGTGATCATTTTATGGTTGAATGTCAGAGCTTCTCTGTGTGTCTTTCTGGGAATGTTGTTCATATAGCTAATTGATAGTTTGAGTATGGGAAATTCGTGGCTTAGTGGGTGTTTTGCAGCAGCTGCGTTACTTGGTGTCTACCCTTCCAACTCCATTGTTTTGTCTTCACAGAATGTAGTTCCTTCTCTCCACCAACTACAGTGATTCTACTCATCCTCTTGTGTTTTGAAGCTCTCCTATTTCTCATCTTCACCTCAGTTATGTTTGGGACCCAAGTACACTCCATCTGCACTGATGAAACGGTGGGTGTCGCACTCTCTCCTGTCTCTCACCATTTGTAGAAACAGTGACTACAGGGCTACAGGGTTTTGCCTCAGGGCACAGGGAGACCCACATACCCTCTGAGGAGAGATCCAGTGTAATAAAGCTGAGCTAGCACAGTGCTGGATGGTGCTCTCTGAGGGTTCCTGTGGGACACAGGGTACCCTGTGTATTGGCTGGGGTGCCATGTTGACATAGCTCCCATGAGGCAGGCATAGGTAGGTGGGGTTACTCTGTAAAGAGTATTTGTGCCTGTGGATTGCAGAACCTTTCTCCTTTAATGAAGTGCTTTTACATCAGTATTGTCTGAAATTCAGCTGTGTGTCCTGGTTGTCACTATTCACAGATTTATGTGCTGGAAAGGCTGGAAAGCCAAGATGAGAAGTTGGGGGAGGAACACACGCACCCCCACACACACACCCATACGCACACACACCTTTTAGGCTAGAAGATTTTCCAGCCTTAGCTACCTGTTCAGCAGTTCAAAAACTCCTGCCAGAAGCCAGAAGGAAAAAGAAAAGGGAGTGGAGTAGGCTCATGGAAACTGCTGGATACAGTCTGCTGCAAATCCACCAAGCCATCTCTGATTTGAAGATGGCATAGTAAAGATTATATAGTAATATTCCAGTCCTAAATCCATGTATTGGCCCACTTCTGGAAAGATGGAGCTGGTGACTCCTGGGGGTGTTCCCACACTTGTGAATACTTGCACTCTTCACCAAGCATGCTCAGGTATTTGAATTAACCAGAGTGGCTGGAGAGAAGTGATAGTCATAAAAGAAGGGCAGCTCTTCTTTCCTCTCCTGCCTTCTTTAGGTTTCTTTCCCCTTGTTTGCCCATGGCCAGTTGAAGCTGGAGAAGATGTTTTTGCTGCTGTCAGAGAGCTGTGACTGGCATTATATGCTGTACAAGCCCATTGTTCTGAGCCTTTGTTTGCAGTGCTTTCCTTAATGCTTGGCTTCTGCAAGAGGCTGATGTTCCACCTGTGTGTGTTGAGAGGAAGACTTCACTGTGCTTTCTGATGGGGAGAGCCCCAGGAGGAGGTACAGAGTGGTACAGATCCTGCTGAGCTTGTGTTCAGCACTAAGTGTGTGAATTAGCAATGCTGCCTGTGAAATCATCATTTGAATTTCGCTATCTTTGGAACCTGTCAAGAATTTTTAGAAACTGCTTCCTACACCTGGGCACCCAAATAAGGCCCTAGATTTTCCCTTCCAGTGCAGTTCTGGAGACTCGTAGATGTTAAAGGAACAATGCCACATTCTAAAATAAAGGAATGAAGTATGGTCTCCCCCATTGGGTTGTGGGTTTTTACTTTTGGGTGTTTTTTTAATATGTGCCAGTAAGGATTCTGCTCTATGGAATGTCTCATTGTTTGTTTGCTAGCATTGAACTAGCTGTATGCAAGCAATCTGTTTGGAGCAGAGGAATATTTCCAGGTGAAGTGCTTCTTGGTGTGCTCTCTTGCAGTGTTCTAATTTGCATTTTAGAGACAGGGCTGTATGTTGCCCTTTTTTCACCTTTCTCTTCGAGTCACTGGGAGACTTCATTCCTCAACTTGAGTATGTTCTCCTGCCAGGATGGTTCCTGTCTGCCTGAAGGGACCCAGAACCCTGGCATTTTGCTGTTGTCTCTGGAAGTGACATTCCCAGGGATCAGCACAGCTCCTGCAGCTGCCCATGTTGTGTCACCAGAGCTCCCAGTGTCAGTGATTTGAGGCACACAGATGTATGGCAGTGCATTACTGCGTAGCGTGGCAGACACATGCAGGTCAGGAGGAACCTTGCCTTGCAGAAGATGCAGAGTAAAGGAACTGGGTGATCTGCCAGCTGCTGCTGCTGCCCATGGGAGAGTGATGCTCTGCAGTGACTGCTCTAACTTATTGGGCTTCTATAGCAAGCATAAATGGCTTTCCTGAAAGACCAAATTCACTTCCTGGGCTTCAGACACAATATGAGTTTTTATTTTCTTTTTAATGTTTAACTAGTGAATGTTTCAGCTGATTGCTTGATGGCTTATTTTTGTTCTGCCTCTAACCTTTACTAAACAATGCCAATGATTTCTTCAAATCAGTATCTTATTTAACCCTCTCTCCCTGCTGTCAGCCCATGCATGTTTTAGCAGTGACTCTAATGACACATGAAGAGGCACCAGGTAGACTCAGCTACACTGAGCCATGGGCACTTCCTGAACTTGCTTGGTGAATCTGAGAGCATTACAGAGATTATCTTTGGGTTTGTGGGGTTTTTGGTCCCTTTTTTTTTTTTTTGTCTGCAAGCTTGTAATGGTTTCTTCTAAAACTTTTCCATCTGGTTAGCACATAATGCATTCAGCCATTAAAGTACATACTTTTTGTTTGCTTTTAAGTGGTGGGGTTTTTTTATTGACATCAGAGGCAATTGGATGGCAGATCTTAAAATGGTTCTGAAGTATGTAGGTCTGAAGAGAATGGAAGCAGTCTTATTTCCAAGGAACAGTTTCTAGCTTTAGTATTTTTTAATATAAAACAGAGAGAAGAAAAGGAAAGGCAGTACAGATGCATTTGTATTTTCTTACTCTGTCCTTTGGACGAGGGGTAACTGAGAGGAGACCTTTCCCCGAATCCAGAGTTACAAAACCTGAGTATTTGACTGAAAATGTCATATTTCTGTTTTCAGGGAATAGAACAGTTGAAAAAGGAAGAGAGAAGATGGGCTAAAAAAACAAAATGGATGAACATGAAAGCAGTATTTGGCCATCCGTTCTCTATAGCATGGCTTAGCCCATTCGCAACACCAGACCAAGGAAAAGCAGACCCATACCAATATGTGGTCTGAGGAATTCCTGACCAGCATTTCCACTAAAATAGAAACATATTACAGCACTACTGTTACAAATTTTCCATGAATGTTTAAAACAAAAAGCAAAATGAACTTTTTTTATGTCTATTAAGTGGCTGATAATTGCAGAGGAAAAAAAAGCCCTGTGTTCCACCATTTTAGATAATTCTATATCTCTGGCTGAAACCGCTGCTTTTTTTTTTTTTTTCCCTTTTCTTTTTTTCCTTTCTTTTTTATCACATTAACTTTACTGGCATTTGTTTCTCTTTGCTTTCTGTATGGCATAACTAATGTGAAGGGAATCCTCTCTTCTCTGTTATGGCCCACCTCTTCTGAGTAAATTCTCATGCTGTCTCCTGACTGTGATGAGCTCTGTGGATGACCTGTGAGTGCCAACAGCCCTACACAGACACCTTTGGACTTCCTGAAGGAGCACATTGCTCTTTCATAAGTGAACTTGAACAGGGAAGCAGATACTTCACGTACCAAAAGGTGCAAGACCAGAAGGCAGCACAGCAAGTGAGCCAGTTGACCTGGTGATCACAAACAGTTAAAGTACTTCAAAGTTGCCAAACCAATTCTCACTCCACCCTCCTTTTTCCTTCCAGCCACAGAACTGATTCCATCTTTCTGGCATTATTTTATCTGTTCCCTCCCTTGTGTGCAGGAAATTGTTGCCCCTGTAGGATAACTGTGGCAGATTTAGAAGACTCTTTGGATTATTACATGCCTTACACTTCCAGGAAAGAAAGAAAGCTAATTTTCAAGTGTTTAGAATAGCAGAATCATGTTTTTTGATGTGTGTTTGTCTTGGTAAATGACTTGTTAGAGCAATGCCTGCTAAACAGTGTTAACGTGAAAAACTGACATGAATGCCCAGATTACTATAAAGACTAATATTGATGGGATGTGTAAATGTTCCAGGGTGGTTGATTCTATATTGTTAGCTTTGCCCTGGTTTAGAGCTTTGTAAATCTTTTCTCCTGTTTATGCATACATGTGGATGTGTGTAAGCACACGCACATATATGTGTAAGGGTTTGAAATTGGGAAATACTTGTGGTAAGGAGCATGCATGCTGTTATGAACTGTGTGGTGATGAAAAGTGGGAGGGACAGAGTGCATTCCAAAAACGGGTAGAGTTATTAAACCATTAATAATCCCAACTGTTAATGTTAATTACAACATCTTGTGTTCAGGCAGGAATTTTATTTATATTTTTGATTCACAACTCCCATGGGCTCATTAAATGAATTGCAAACAGAGGAAATACACAAATCAGCTGCATCTGTGACTTCCAAGGAATCTTTTCTTTCCTTGGTTTAAAATATTTTTTTGGAAACTGACCTGCTTAGACTGCTTCAAAGCCACGGGGGAAGGGAGGGAGATCAGGGAAGGAGAAATTTAATGGATGTCTCATTTTGGAAGTAATGTGAATGCTGCATCTTTTCAATCTGTTAATGCTTCCATATGGAAAACAAATGCAATAAAACTTTTCCAAAAACTTGTTTGCTGTTCTTTCTTTCTTTCTTTGTTCCAAATCTTGGGAAAAATCTGTAATGGTTTTCTGAACTTTCACTTCTGTATGCAATCAGGCAGAAGCATATAAAATTTAATTAACTTATGTGTACAACTTCTAAGTTGAAAAGTGAGTTAATTGGTAATATACTGATGTGTTAATCAGTGGTTTATTTCAGCAGCTGGGAGAGGCTGTAACTCTGGTTTGAGTATGTGATGGCATTTCTCAGAGAACGCTCCCTTAATCCTTAAGCTGGGTCTTGGGCCGTGGTCAGTCCAGCCAGTGAGAAATGTGCAGGTGATAATTTGAACTGGCAGAGAATCTGGCCCCAAAGCTGCCTTGATGCAAAATCAGAATATATTGAAGGGAGAGGCTTTAGTCACCTAGGCAATTAACTAATGAATGCATCTCTCTGTAGTTCACTGCTTCAAAAATTCTTTTGATTACAAATTCTACATTCCAGTTTGGACTTATTTTAATTACCCTTATTAGCTATGTGTTCTGGAGGAAGATTAATTATATTGTTCTGGCCTTTTGACCATTGTGGAAAAATGTGTAACTACTGAGTTTTTCTTGTTTCAAACCAGATGCAGATTGTTAAACAGCATTCTGTAGTACTTAGATTTTCAGTCAAACTCTGTGTTTTGTCTTTTAAATGAGGCACCATTGCAGAAAGGCCACTGGTACCTGTCCTGTGTGTGGTGATAACCTGGGCCTTCAGATTTTCTTGTGCTGTATGACTTTGCTTGATGCAATTGGAATGGTACTAAAAGTAAGGCAGTATTAGTATGAGAAAGGCAGACTTACTGGTTTGCTGATGGAAAGTATTTTCTTGGTCAGGACTATGATTTCAGGTGCTGGTTCTGTTTTAGTGTGGCCAACAGAAATTGAGGGACAAAATCAGAGTACTTCTGTTTTAAAAAACTAAGTAGTGCTCCATGCAGAAATGTGTGAAGGAACTGCTGTAAGAGAATTTCTGCCTTAATCATGATTTTCTAATGGCAATGCTTCCTGTGTCTTCTCCTTAACCATGAATTTGTCTCAATGCTTGTCTTTTTGGTTTGCTCTTTCCTTTCACATCTTAAAAGTGCATTGAAAGAAGTTAATGCATTTCTTCTAACATTCAAGAGCTGCCCTGCAGATTGCTTCTGGGTCAGACCATGCAGCCCACCATCCTCCTCTGGCACTGGGCAGGAGCAGATACCAAGGGCAGTAATTGAAGAAATGGGTGTTATTCTACAGCATCACAGTGGTTACAGGTCAACTTGTCTAACTGTCCCCATGTTTGCAATGTCGTGCCTTTTACTTAAAGAGGAATGTCCAGTATTTTATATTTCTCAGTGTATTTCTTTTCAGTATTGGTTCAAAATTATGTAATTTGAAGCAGGGGGAAAGCTGATGCCTTCTAAGCATTTTTTTTATTAAGTGGAATAGCTGCATGATGGGAAAGAGAAAGAGACGTTGGTTTAATTCAATACACAAAATTCTCACATTGTAAAATAATGGTGAGAGATTTATGTAAGTATATTTCTTATTAAAAAGTTTAATTAAATAGTAGTTAAATGTCTTCAACAGCTGTGCATTCCTTCCCTCTCCCTTAGATTCTTTTTAAGGCATAACCTCATGCCCTACTGACCATGTGGCCAGCAGCCAAAATTAGATCAAGATACAATTATAAAACTTCTGTTTATTTTGAATACATGCTGTGAAGGGATTAGTGAGGTCAGGCTGGGAGAGAGAAAGTATGCCCCTGGCTGTTCTGATGAACTGCTCCCTAATTGGCATTAGCATAACCTCAGCCTGACCTTGCCTTGGTTAGCAGATGCTGATAGGAGCAGGTGAGCTGTGTTTTTTGGGGGAAGGGAATGAGGGCTTGCTGCTCAGAAATGTTCCAAATTTGTATTCCCAGTCTAGATGGCAGCAGGGATTGAAGTGGATTACACAAATGACTGAGGGCAGGGTTGAAGCTTGTGCTCTCAGGGAAGGGTTTAAATGCCTGATGTCTGTCTCTCCTCCTCCTCTGTGCTACTTGTTTTCCTTCTCTCCAGATGCTCACGCAGTAAGTGCTCCAGCCGTGCTCCTGCCAGTTTGTTACTAACACACGGGAAACCTCTGCAGTTGGCTGAGGAGCAGCGCACAGCCAAAGGTGCTCTCCTGCTTTAGGCTGCCAGAGCTTCTGCCCCCTGCCTGCACAGCCACTGGGTGCTGGAAATGCAGTATCCTGGAGGAAAAGCTCATGGTAGTGCTAGAGCACTTTGCCAAGGGTCTGCTGTGCGCAAACTCTGCTCCTCTCCATCTTGCCCAGCAGGGAGGTAAGGTCAGGCCCTGGCTGTGGCACACAAATTGTGCCATCCCAAGGCACCAGAGGCTGCAGGGGATTCTCCCTGGAGCACTTGGAATGGTACATTTGCAAGCTTGGGAGCAGGGTGAGGTGCCACAGGCCTGTGTTTAGCATTCTAAATCCTTCAGGGCCTGATTTTTTCCCAAATTACAGCCCTGAGGAATTCCGATTTGGTATTGCGTTGTTCCTTTCTGCACGTTGACTGCCAGGTTTCTCTTCAGTCAGCACCAGAAACGGAGCATGAATGAAGGAATGGAGTTCATAAAAGCTTTGCACGCAGCGCTTTGGTTTATGGTGTGCTTTCTCCTGGGTCTGCTCTGCTGACTCAGTGTTCCTGCAAACTGAGCTGCTGCTGCTGCTGTCTGATTCGTGAGGCTGACAACTAGTGCAGCTGTGGTGCTGCTGAGCTGCTGTGTGTGTTCCTTTCCCCTCGCTGCAAAGCTTTGAATGTTTTGTGTGTTGTCGAGAAAAATCTGTAGAATTAGAATGTGAGAAGCATACTGTTCTTCCAGCTCTTCTAAAACTGTTCTTTATTACAGTTTTAACCCTATTTGCACTTTTTTTTCCCTTCCCTTGAGTTTCTCAAAACTTGGATCCTAGTATTCTTGCTTCTCTAAGAATAGACTTTCTGTGTGGTCACTTGTATATCATCACAAGTGGATCATACTAAGCTGCAGATCTGACTCCTCTCTTACCTGAAACAGAAGATGGGCATAAAAAATCGTGCCCTATTTCACACAGTGATGGACTTAAAAAAATCATTAAGAAAATAAATTTTAGTTCCCTATTTCTGTGTGGAGAAGACTATCGGGAAAAACATGTCCCTGCCCAAATTTGATGGATTTGTTCTTTAAGTGCAATCAAAATGTTTGCTTTACTAAAAGTGACATTCTTGGAGGGAGAATGAATCAGGCTATTGACTGACCAAGGCTCCAGTCCCATTTTGAAGCCTCCACAATAACCTGTACAGATTTTCTCAACTCCCAGCAGGTTATCTGGCTTGCATTGTGATTTGTCTTTGACAATTTGGTAAATGGAAGTTGTGTTCTTAAATATTTGCTCTTAACTGGCACAGAGTGAACTTCTAGTGACTAGCCTAGGTGTGGCAGTGGTAAATTCCTGATTACTGGGAAAAGGTGCAGTATTTTGGCTGTGTCTGAACTATTGCAAAAAAATGCCCAAACAAGGTGAAACTCTTAAGTTGTAACTGTATTTTGTCACTCCTTGGAGGGATTTGAAAAGCTGTGTGAGAAGAGGTCCATGTTTCCCAAAAGACCGGCTTTTCAGAAGCCGTCCCTGTACCCTAAAAATCAACTGATTCCAAAATACGTCAGCAAGATTCAGATTGTCCATGAATTAGATCAGGTGTGAGGGTTTTGCGGTTAAATGTGGTGATGAAACTCTCAGTAATGCAGAGTGTCTGTCTTCATAGTTCACTCAAACTGGAATAGCATCAACCTAGCTATAGGTAGGCAGTTCTGCATGTACAGCAGTGCTTGGTGCTCAAACACCTGCTGTAAGCATGACATGACCATCAACTCTTCTCTTCTTGCAGGGTATTGAGCGGCTCAAAAACCAAAAGCCAACGTGGGAGAAGATCAGCGGCTGGGAAGGAATGAAGCTGGCGTTTGGAGGTGCCTTCTCCCTGGGTTGGTTCAATCCCTTCTCAAACCTGAACTGCGAGAGCCCAGTGCCTGCTGAAGCAGCTCCTGCGTCTGAAATAATGACCCAAGAAGAAATCGAGCAGTTTCTGGCTCGAGATGTTGCCATCCAAATGTTGCGTGAATAAGCAAAGCGTCCTTCTCTTCCAGGAGAAGCTTTCAGGTGTTCTTTTTAAAAAATAATTACTTGTGCTGGAGATTTAAGGGTTGTTTGTTAACGTACTTTCTGGTGCATTAAAAAATTCAGGAGTATTGGTCTGGAACAGACGCTACAGCACTAGCAGAAGCAATGCAAATCTCCAGAGAGAGCTTCATAAGTGATGGGGTTCATAAGCTCCTTTCAGACCTGTGGCAGCTGCTTTATTGGTCTTTTCTTACATGGCATTTAAGGACAGTTTATAATTGTCAGATAGATTGGCTCCAGTTCCCAGAAATGTGCCATCCTAGGGAGTCTGGCTAATCTTTTGTTCTTACAGCCCTTTGGAAGACTAAATGTGTGATGGCAAGATTAGCCAGCTCTGAAGGTTTTCTGGAAAAATGCATCCTCTTTAGCCCATCCCATCCCTTGGCTCCTGCTTGTGGGTTATGAGTGTTGCTAATGCACTGGTCTTAGCAGAGGTGGGATGTAGGGCTATGGATCTCACCCTGGGTGTGATTTCTTTGGGCTCTGAAATATCTCCAGGAGTTAATTTTTACCTTCTGTGTGTGTGAGAGTGCCCAGGACTGGTGGTGCTTGTCGGAGGTGGTGGTGGGCTTGTGATGGTGCTGGCCGGAGCATTGACCCATGGCCAGTGCAGCCAAGAAGGAGCAAGTGTTGGCTGGGATGCTGAGCTGCTGGTGCTGGTGGGGGGAAGCTTTTCCCCGGGGCTGTGGTTCATTGGCATGTAAGATGTGTGGAGTGGGAGCTGCCTGGCTGAGCTCTGCAGCCCAGGGAGCAGGGAAGCAGTCAAGGCCAGGTCCCAGGGCTCTTTTTGCAGTGAAAGAGAGGGTGATGTGAGCACCCTGTGATGGAGGTACTACCTCTTTCTGTTTGACTTATCTAATTTAGATGTTTCTCTTTCCTTGGTAGCTGGAGTTGGTGGAGAATTAATAGAGCCTCCTAATCTAACTGGGTCTAACATTGTACGTGCCATTACTCCAGGTTTCCTCTCACTGATTTTGCAGCCAGTCCCTGGGGAATGCTGGTGACCCTGTAGAAGGAACACCCATCACTCAAAGAGGGCAGTCCTGCAGAGGTGTTGCCAGCTGCTGCATTCAGATGCACTGCAAACACTTGGCATCCTCCAGATGTCAGGCTAGTTTTAATTTAGACTGTTCTTCATTTGTGTTTTTGTTCCTCTCCTGTCATATCCCTTAGATTAATTGTCATTAAATTTGCAGGGGACTAGAAATGTGCTACTGGTTTCCCCCCACAGAACATGCTTGCTTTTATCTCCCCCTCCCCTTAACCTGTACCAAAGATAACTGCTTCCTCTCAAATGAAAGAGAAAGGAGTTTTGGGATGAAAGATGGTATTGTGGAAGACCTATAGGAAGTTTTTATTATTTATAGGAGTAATATCAAATGGAATTTGTGCAAGATTTTTTTAATGTTTATTTTTAACCCCTCAGAAAGCATCTTTGTGTGCATTGATTGTGTGACATTCAGGGCTACTGTGGTGGGATGAGATTCTCTCCTGGACTTGTCCTCTGCCACAGCAATCCTTTTACCTGGCAAAGTAGTGGGAACAAATAGAGGGCCTTGGCTGTTAAGAGCACAGCTTCACCAAAATCCAGGAGGTATTTCTGAATAGTTGTCCCATTCCCTGTTCCCTCTGGATGTCTCTTTGTCAGTGAAAAGCAGATCTAGAGAACATCATTAGGAATTGCATATTTATAACCTTTGGGTTAAAGGGAAACACCCCCATTTGAGGGGAAATGAGATATCCTCTCATGTCATTTAGTCATGAGGCCTTGGATGTCTGCCCTGTGCAGCAGGGTGCTGAGGGAAGAAGCTCCTCCTCTGCTCTAGCCTATGTTCCTCCCTGTCAGCATCCCACAGGAAAGGGATGTCAGGGGCATACACGGGTCTGTAAGGGATTTCCTTAGGCAGGAATGGCCACGTTGAAAGAGGAAGAGTGCCCTTTCTAGCTCATGTTTTCTAATTTTGCCCTGCTGCTCCACTTCTGCATCCAGGTAACCCCCCTGCCTCTGGTGCTGTGTCTGCAGTGGGAATGGTGCTACAGGAAGGAGCTAGCCCACGGCTGAAAATCACCTTGAGGCAGGCATATGGGGTTGTCAGCTTGGGAGAGAACCCGTGTGCTGCATTCCAGGGATGCTTCTCAGGACAGAGACCCTACTCTGGGACATGGCTTTGGGCAGGCATGGATGGAGGCAGCCAAATTTCTCCTCCACTCTCAAACCTGGTTCTCTTCATCATGAGAACATTTATCATTTGCTCTCAGCTTTTGTCATTTGTCATTTGTTTCCCAGCTCTCTTGTTCCTCAGGTGCTGGCATTTCTGGGTTTGGTTTTTTTTTTTTTTAATAGGGAAAACAGAAAAGTAGAGTGAAGAGGAGGGTGAGAGCCAGAGCAGTCATCTCCTCTCCTCCAGTTACAGTCTGAATGAGACAGGGATGTGTCCCTGGGCCTTACACAGAGCATGGACAGCCAGCTCCAGCTGTGGTGCCCTCAAGACAGGGCAGGGTGACTTCGTCTGCCCAGGAAGTCAGTTCTGGTGTTTCTTGGCTGTCAGTCTCCCTTGGCCTCTCCCAAAGTCCCAGTACCCCCTGGTGTATCTCCTTTCTGTCTCAGTGTAGTATGACAGCTGTCAGAAATCACAAGTCTTCACAAGTTGGAAAAATCTCTTTTATCCACAGCTTTTGTATAAACCTTCTTCTTTAAGGATTGACTGGTAGCTTGAGACCAAACATGATTTACATGGAATTGAAGCTAATCTCACTGTTTACCTTCCCTTCCTTCCCTCTGTACACTTCTTGCCCTTTGTTAGGGCATGCCTTCATGTTCAGACCATGCTGCTGTGGTCCTGGCTGACTCCCAGGAAAGACATCCTGGAGAATCTGCTTGTAGTGCCCTAAATTTATGGGGCTAGGGAGGATGCTCCCCCTGCACTGCTCAGTGGGACATGGTCTGCTGAAGATCCCATCACTGCTCTGGCGTGAGGTGTTGATATGTGATGGACAGAGCCGTGGCATATGTGGAAAGTGTTCTCATACTTCTCACCTGGTGTCTTCCACAACAGGTTTTCTATGCAAATAGGGAATTTACATCTCGTGAAAAAATGCATTTTTTGCTGTTTGTAACTCCTTTTGTGCCTTTGGTCGCTGCTGTACTTTTTAAAGAGCTAATACTTCATCTGCCAAGCACTGCCTACCCCTCCCTGCTCTGCGGATGGGATGTGCATGGACCCTGCACCTGCTCTGCCTCTGGAGAGGAGCTGCCTCTCCCTGCCACTGTGCCACCACAGGAGGTGGCCTTTTGGGGACCCTGTGCTGCTGTGGAGTGACACAACACTGTGGGCAGAGGGGCAGCAGGGGTCAGGGCAGCCTTGGCCCCCTCCTGTGGCCTGGCAGCCACCTGCGTGCTCGTCCGGGAGTTCCCCAGATCTTTGAAACGCAGAAGAGTGGTTAAAACCTTTTGGCCTTTTTATGTCCTTTTTTTCCCCTCTTCCCTTTTTACAGGCTGGTACATAACCAGATGTAGTCACCATTTCTTTTTTCTGCTCCACTGCCTTAATGCTTGAGCATTTGCCTTTTAAATAAACAGATAAATTACTCCCTGTACTACTGTGTGACCTGATTTCCTCTTTACTTGTGGAAGTGCTGGCAAACCCAGTGCCACTCTGCTGCTGGCCATGCTATGGGACAGGGAGATCCCTTGCTAAAGGTGGGCTCGGGAGTTGCTGGGGTGTGCAGTGCAGTGGTGAGCTCCAGCTGTGCACAGCTGTTGTCTTCTCCAGTGTGACTATGGCTGGAAGAGCTCCTGGTGTACACTGCCGTTGAGGTTCTTCCTGTAGTCCAGCAGCATTCAGGGTGGAAGGGGAAGAATAGAGGTTGTACATTTCTAGGGAAGCACTAGTAATGAATGCTGCTGGAGATGGCACCTCTTCCAAAAATGCCTGAAAACCCCCAAAAGCAGTGGGATAAGAAGATTTATAAAAAATTATGTTTGGGGAGACTGTGCTGGGTTTGCTCTTTCTGAGCTCTAAAGTCAAGGAAAGGCACATGCTGGTACATTCCCCAGATGGTCAGCTGGGAGGAGAGGGAATTACCCAGGAGGGATTTGCCTGAAATGTTCCTTGAGCTGCACAGCAGCCCTTGGTGCAGTGAGGTCCCCGTGTGTCCTTCTGTGTGGGACCACAGCACTGCTGCCCCTCCCAGGCTCACACCCATCTCTGGCTGAAGCTGGTACCAGCACAAGCTCCAATACCCAGTCTGAGATGGGAACATCCCAGTGGGTCCAGAGCCATCCCAATATGACAACATCACCAAACCAAATCACACAGTCAATTTTCACCATCTTTATTGAATCACAATTAACTGCAATCAATGCAGCTGTGCCCTTAAGGCAGTTTAATTCCCTTAGCTTTATGGCATTTTTGCTCTTTACTTTAGAAGAGCTGTGAAGCAAGAAGGCAAGAAGTGCCCAGTGATGAGATGCATTTAGCAAGGCCAACATTTGCACGCTGCCAAGGCACTGATCCTACTCAGTGATGAAGATGCCTTTCTCTGCAGAGATGCCTTTGATCTGGTTGGAGATCAGCTTGGCTACGATTTTCTTCTCTCCTAGTCTTGTCGGAGTGCATACTATTTCAGACTTCATGATCCTGCCAGGCATTATGTCCCTGAGGACAAAGGAACAACCAAAATAGTCTCAGCATTAATTTGGGTTTTTTGCCACTTTTGAACAATTTCTCTTAAAGAAATAGTCACTGCATGTGTTTAGGGTGGGTATTCCCCTTCCCCCATGACCAATTTGCAGCAAATGGGGATTGAAATGGTGGTACTGCCTGGTGGTCCCAGTGATCCTGGGGACCTTCCCTGGGGTTCCCTGTACTGCTGAAACACCAAATTCAGCTCTGAGTGAAGCAGCTGTGCTCACACTTGCTGGGCAGCACAGCAGGAGCATGGGGGGAGTCCCTGCCATGCCCATCTGCCCTGAGCCTGTCAACTGCTGTGTGGGCCTTTCTGGCCAAATGTGGTGCAGTTTCAAACACAGCTGGCAAAGGTCCCTCTTACTGCAAATCCCCTAACCGCTTCTTCAAGGATATTTAAAGAAAAAACAAAACAAACAGAGTCCTGCCATGGTCATTTCATTGGCTCATCTCCTTACCCCAGCTCAAATGTTGTCATCTTAAATATGCCCAAGCCCTCCACCAGCAGCTTGCAGTTTTCCAGGGTCACATTCAGCTTGTTCTTGAAGATGAATGCACAGTTGAAGTCATTGTACAGAGTGGCTGTTTCTGGCATCTAGCAGAGGAGGAAAGAGAGAAACAAATCCAAAGACTTGGGATTAGAGGGGTAGTAAAGATGCCAGAGCTTCTACAGGTTTGCTCACCACCAGCATGACAGGGGATAGCCCCTTCATATCCTTTCCACCCACCCGAAGCACTGTGTTAGATGGGGCAGTAATAAAACTTTGATTTCGTGACTTTCAACCTTCAAATTAATATTGAATAGCCAAATGAGGTGCCAAGAACTGAGCATCCTAGGAGGCAGCTGTTTGGGAGATTCCCCTGGGAATGCTATCACCACCGTGGTGCTGCAGTGAGCAGAGCTTTAACCCTTGTCCTCCCAGAGCCCAGCTGGCAACTGCCTCACCTGGACAGTGATGGGGGGATACTGGAATCTCATTGAGGTCTCCTTGGTGAGTTTGTCGTTGGTTTCCTTGACCTCGGCAATGGCAGTCACAAGGATGAGCACTTCATCTTCCACGGAGGACAGTGTCTTCATGTATGCATCAGGTGCTATTTTCAGGGGGATCTGCATCTCTGCAGGAAAGAAAACACAGCTTGGTGTTTCATCACGTGCCCAGGGATTATTGGCTGGCAAAGTCGGCAGGATGTGGCACGAGCCGTATTTGCTGAGACCATCCTGCTTTCCCTTCAATCCCTGTGGGGGGAAGCCATGGCTGAGGGGGTGGCACCTGGCACATGCAGCCCATGGGAAGGAGCTACCTTTGTGTCCTGCCCTGCTGACAGCAACAGTGTATGAATGAAAACACTCAGTG